ACGCCTTTTCTTCATCGATTGAGATGATCATGTGATTCTCTTTTCTATTTATGTAGTGGATTATGTTGATTTTCTAATGTTGAACCATCCTTGCATACCTGATATGAATCCCACTTGGTCGCAGTGGATTATTTTTTTGATATAATGTTGAATTCTGTTGGCTAGAATTTTGTTGAGAATTTTCGTGTCTATATTCATGAGCGATATCGGTCTGTAATTTTCTTTTTTTGTGTTGTCTTTGCCTGGCTTTGGTATCAGGGTTATGCTGGCTTCACAGAATGAATTTGGGAGTATTGCTTCCTTTTCTGTGCTCTGAAATGGTTTGAGTAGTTCTCATTTGAGCTCTTCTCTTAACGTGTGATAGAATTCTTCAGTGAAGCCATCCAGGCCAGGGCTTTTTTTGTTGGGAGTTTTTTTTTTTTTTTTTTTTTTAATTATCTTTTCGGTCTCTTGTTATAGGTCTGTTCAGATTTTCTATCTTAGGTTGTGTTAGTTTAGATAGGTAGTGTGTTTCTAGAAATTCGTCTATTTCCACTATGTTCTCAAATTTGTTAGAGCACAGTTTTTCATAGTATTCTGTTATGATCCTTTTCATTTCAGTTTGGTCTTTTGTAATGTCCCCCATCTCATTTCTTATTTGGATTATTTGCTTCTTCTCCTTTTTTCTTTTGTCAGTTTTTCCAGTGGTTTGTCAATTTTGTTGATCATTTCAAAGAACCAACTTTTGGTTTTGTTGACTCTTTCTATTGCTTTTCTGTTCTCTATTTCAGTTATCATTTTTCAGTTCTCTATTTCAGTTCTAATGGTCTCATCTGTATTAACTTCCTTTCTTCTGGTGCCTGTTAACTTCTTTTGCTGTTCCCTTTCTATTTGTTTGATTTGTAGGGCTAACATTTTTTATTTTGGCCTGTTCTTCTTTTTTCATGCGTGTGTTTATTGCTATAAATTAACCTCTGAGCACTGCCTTTGCTGTGTCCCAAAGGTTTTGGTATGATGTGTTGTCATTCTCATTTGATTCCAAGAATTTTTTGATTCCCTCTTTGATTTCTTCTATTACCCAGTTTTTTTTAAGCAAGGTGTTATTCAGTTTCCATGTATTTGAGGGGTTTTTTTGGTTCTTCCTATTATTGGTTTCTACTTTTATGGCATTGTGATCAGAGAGAATGCTTTGTATTCTCTCAGTGTTTTTGGTTTTATTGAGGGTTGCTTTGTGGCCTAAAATATGGTCTATCCTGGAGCTTGTTCCATGTGTGTTAGAAAAGACTGTATGCTTTGCTGCTGTTGGCTGGAGTGTTCTGTATACATCTGTGAGGTCAAGTTGGTTGATTGTGGCCTTTTGATCTTCTGTATGTTTTTCTTTCTAGATGTTCTGTCCATTACCGAGAGTGATGTGTTAACGTCTCATACTATTATTAAACTGTTTCTCTTTTCAGTGCTGTTAGAGTTTGCTTTATGTATTTTGGAGCCCTGTTGGGTACATAGATATTTATTAAGGTAATATCTTCTTGGCAGATTGTCCCTTTAATCATTATATAATGTCCTTCCTTGTCATTTATGGTTAATTTCGCCTTAAAGTCCATTTTGTCTGAGATTAATATTGCGACTCCTGCTCTTTTTTGGTTACTGTTTGCTTGTTACGTTTTTTCCATGCTTTGATTTTTAATATTTTTGTCTTTGTGAGGTGTGTCTCTTCTAGGCAGCATATTGATGGGTCTTATTTTTTTATTCATTCTGCCACTGTCTCTTTATGGGTGCATTTAAGCCATTTACGTTCAGTATGATTATCGATAGGTATGAGTTTACTGCTGTCATATTGTTGTGCTTCGTTTTTGGGTGCTGACATTTTCTCTGTTCCTTTTACCTTCCTTGGCTGAGTTCCTTTTGTTTGTGGATTTTCTTTTCTTTCATTTTTATAGATTTTGTGTTTAGTGAGTCTTTATGTTTTTATCCTTTCTTATTTTGATGACTAGATTTGTTAACTTTGTGTTTACCTTGAAATTTACCCTTATCTTCCTAAGTTTGAACCAGTCTTTTATTACTTAATATCACCTTGACTTCTCTCCATTTGAAAGCTGTGTACCTAGTCTGTTTATTCCCTTTTTGGTTTTGACGTTGCTGCCATTTACAGATTGACATCTCTGTTTCCCTGTTTTAAGTCTTTTAGCTTTGTTTTATTACTGAGAGTTCTTTACCTGGGTTGGTATATGGCTGATGCTGTCCTGTGTCCTAGATTCAGATTGTTGTCTGATGTTGTAGGTTCTCTAACCAAAGGACTCCCTTTAATAGTTCTTGTAAGTTTGGTTTAGTTTTTATGAATTCCCTTAATTTCTGTTTATCTGGAAATGTCCTAATTTCACCACTGCATTTGAGAAAGAGTTTTGCAGGATATATTATTCTTGGTTGGCAGTTTTTTTTCTTTCAGGGTTTTATGTATGTCATCCTATTGCCTTCTTGCCTTCATAGTTTCTGCCAGGTAATAGAACTTAGTCTTATTGTTTCCCCTTTGTATGTGACTTTTCATTTTTCTCGAGCTATTCTCTAGATTCTTTCTTTGTCTTTGGTTTTGGCAAGTGTGATTATAATATGTCTCGGTGACTTTGTTTTGGGGTCTATCATCTGTGGGGTTCATTTGAGCTTCTTGGATGGTCAGCTTTTCATCTTTCTTGACATTTGGGAAGTTTTCTGCCAGCAAATCTTCAACAATCTTCTCTGTGTTTTCCATTTTCTCCCCCTGTTCTTGAACTCCTGTCATGCGCACATTTTTTATTCTTTATTTTGTTCACTTGCTGGAGTCATCTTGTCCTACTTTTTTTATGTTTTGATATTATCTGCTGTCTGAGACATTAAGGCATTATTTTCATTATTGATTGTTTGTGTCATCCTGTGTTTTGTTTTGTTTTGATAAGTCAGTGTGGGCAGTCCAGGTGTGCTTTGCTGCTTGCTCGTTTGGGCACGATATGTCTCGCCACTGCCAGCAGCAAGACGAGCCCACTTCGCTGTATACTTTTTTGTCGAGGTGTTTGAGGGCATACTGGGCGGCGCTGTCTCCTGATGTTGGTCCAGTGGTGTGGGAATGTTCACAGCCTCTCACCAGATAGGCGGAGGTTTTGGATGGGGGAGTGGTATGGGCTTGCTTCCTACCATTCAGCAGCTGGATAAACGGTGGGAGGGCAGGGGTGGTTCAGACCAGGTGCAATGCCGAGGACACCGTAGCTGTGGTGACATGGCAGGGACCAGCGTGTGTGGGCAGGGCAGACCTGGGAACCAGCGGGAAGGGCAGGAGGTGGCGTATAGGGATAGGTGGGAGGGAGAAAGAAAAAGAAAAAAAGTAAATGATGGTGCATTGGGGGCCAACGAGTGCGGGCGGGCAGGACCTGGGGGCCAGTAGGAAGGGAGGGGAGGTTATATACCAGGCTAGGAGGGAGGGCAAAAGAAAAGGGGAAAAAAATGGAGGCGTGGCAGGAGGCGGTGGGTGGAGGTGGAGTGGACCCAGGGTGACGACGGGCTAGTGGGTCTGTAGCCATGGCAGGGGCTGGCAGGAAAGAGGGGAAGGCATACAGGGCTAGGTTGGAGGGAGAAAGAAAAGGAAGAAAGAAAAAATTTTAGAATGGCAGTACAGTGGGTGCTGGCAAGTAGGGTGGGGTAGACTCAAGGGCCAGTGGGAAGGGAGAGGAGGTAATGTACAGGGTAGATGGGAGGGAGAAAGAAGAGAAAGAAAAAAAAGCAAAAAAAAAAGGCGGCACAGTGGGAGCTGGTGGGTGGGGCTGGGGCAAACCCAGGGCAGTGGCAGGCCTGTGGCTCTCTAGCTGCTGTGGTGCAGCAGGAGCCGGCGGGAAGGAGAGGAGGAGGCATATGGAGCTAGGTGGGAGAGAGAAAGAGAAAAAAACACCTGCGTGGCAAGAGCGGGTGGGATAGAACAGGGCAGGGTCTTGTGGTTCTCAGTGGCGGAGCCTGCAAGGTTGGGGGTGGGGGGCCTTGCTTCTATACACCAGAAGGGTGAAAGGTGGGAATGTGTGTTTCTCTGGTTACCGGGTGCTCTGTTTCCTATCGGGAGCTCTGTGAAGTTGCCTCCCTGTCTCCCTGTCTGGGATCATTGCTGGCTGTGCTCCAAGATGGCGACGCTGTGCCACGTTAGCTGGCAGGGGACCTCAACTCTTAGCTCTCTCCTCGTTCTCTGTTCTCGGTCAGTTTCTTCTTCCATTCAGTGCTTGATCTAGTTCTTTATCCCTTCATTTGATGCTTAGGGTTCCAGGATTGACGTTTGTATCTGTTTTACTTAGTTTTTTGAGTCTTTGCTGCAGCGGGACGGCATGGTACATCTGTCTATGGCACCATGTTGGCTCTGCCTCTCAATTTTTTTTAAAGCCCTTTTCCTTGACTGCTTCAGTGTTTACCCTAGGGCATATTTACTGTTGTTAACCATGACTGCCTAATTGCCAAGAATTTTGTGTTTTCTGTATATTCACCAGTAGGCACCCTTTGACCTTTAGGACTTCTCTAGATAAAGTAACCCCTAGTCTGATTTTAGTTGGCTGTTAGAGTTGATGTATACAATGTAGCACATGCTTACTCAGTAAATATTGTTCAGTGATTAAAGTTATAACTTTAAGGGACTGTAAGTTGCCTTGCCTAACCTTGTTATTTGAGAAATGGCGAGAGAACTGTATACATTATTCTAATTTTCTGCATTTTAAAAGGAGAGTACCATCTTTCAAAAGGAAACGAATGTTAGTATCCTGGAAAGTAGGGAGGGTAGGGTCTTTTCACTTATATGTGAACATTTCACCACATTTATGGAGTACCTCCTGGGTATATGACAAAATAACAATTAAATGGTGCTTTAGACACTCCTGTTTGAGCCCCTGTAGAGTGTGAAACTCCTGGAGTGCCTGTCATCAGTTTCTGAACCATTAGTCTAATGCTAAACAGAACAGCCCGGATGTTTTGAGTGTCACTTGGAGGTGTTGCGATGTTGACCCATGGTGTGATTCCTCTTTCAGCACCCAGTGCTTGATGAGCCGATAGCTGAAGCCGTGTGCATTGTCGCAGACACAGAGAAGTGGAGTGTGCAGGTAGTGACCAGCCAGAGGAAGGTGGCGGACGGCGTGAAACTGGGCCAAGATGTCTTGGTATCAAGTCAGGTGTCCAGCTTACTTCAGGCAATTTTGCAGCTTTACAAGCTTCACTTCCCTGCTGATTTTGTAAGTGTTTGTTCTCATACCCCCAAAGAGGTATAGTTTAAAAAAACACCTCTGAAAGCATTTTGATTATAAAAGCACAAATTCAAATGTATTATTTTTAGCATAATTGGAGGTTAGCATCAGTAAAAATAGAAAATGCAGTATAAAACCAGCAGACAGGATCAATTTCAGTAACACTCTCCCTTCCATGAAACAAATAACATACGGTGACCCTGCAGTCTTTTTGAACAAGGTGTCTGGCCGTCAGCAGGATGTGGGGGGAGGGACCTAAGAAGAAGGGAAAACTCTTGCATTTGAGAAGGCTACTTGCTGAAGGAACTGTAGTTTCTTTTGCTCCAGAACCTTCCTCATAGAGTTGTTAAGGATAAAATGGAATATTGTTTGTATAAACACTTTTGAAATTTTGGAGGACCATATCCTTGTAAGGTAGTATCATTTGTTTCCTTTTCAAATGGGATTTTTATATGACTTTCATAATGTTATGTTAAATACAGTCAACAAACCAAGCCTATCAACTCCTAGAAAATTATCAGCAGACCTCCCCCAGTTACTGGAATTAGTGTACAAACCAAATCCTTCTCAATATGTGTGCATGTGTACAAAGAGATTCAAAGAGAAAATGCTCTTTATTTATAGAGGAACAGAGAAAGATTTCAAAAGTGTAAGAGAGGCTTAAGTGGGTGTAGCTAGGAACAGCTTCGATGAGCTGACCTCGGGGATAAATGCTTAGATGAAAGACACTATTTCTCTCCTTTTTCCTTCCTTCTACACAGTGTTGCTCTCTGCAGTACCACTCCAAACAAAAGCATCCGTATCCCCCTTCCGGCCTCCACAAATGGTCCAGAGCTGTTTAACAACAGAGTAGGAAACTGAATATTCATCACCTACACTAATTGCTAATAGAGTGGTGATTTTCCAGGGTACTTACGACCAAATCTGCAGTCACACCACATTCCTCAGAAATGCTCAGTACTTGTGTGAACTCACAGAAGGAGCTGTGGGATACTGTCTGACCGTCAGCTCCGTAGTGGCGGCGTGGCATAGAGGAAGAACACTGGCTTTGCCACCGATCAGTGACGGTGACAAGCCTGAGTGTCTCTGGACCTCAGCGTTCTTACTTGTAAAAGGAAGGTAGTGCTTTCTACACAAGCACATTGTGAGAATTTCTGAATATAAGGAGTAAGATGTTGCTTTTTAGATTGTCAAAACACTATTCCCATATTAAAGAACCAAAAAAACAAAGCCACTGCCGTCGAATCAATTCTGACTCATAGCAACCCCATAGGGTTTCCAAGGCTGTAAATCTTTATGGAAGCAGACTGCCAAATCTGTCTCCCATGGAGCCACTGGTGGGTTTGAACTGCTGACCTTTTGGTTAGCAGCCAACGACTTTAACCACTGCACCTCTAGGGCTCCTTATTCCCATATAAGGTACTTGAAAAGCCAGTGTATCTTAGTGGCTAATACCTGGGCTCTGGAGTGTGATGGCCTGGAGTCAGATCCGAGTTCTGATCCTCACTAACTGTGTGACCTCTCCACGTCTGAAATCTGTCTGCAAAGCTGGTGAAATAATAGAACCTATTTCATAGGGCTGTGAAAATTGGATAATTCACAGAAAGCACTTGGCTTTGTATTAGACATTATAAGCACTCAGGAAACAGCTCCTGTTAGTATGACTGTTAATAATAGTTGCATGAAACAATTCTAATGTTATGCAAAGACTGACAACACCTTTTCACTGAAGCCTTTACTTGGGCTTTAAACTGAAGCAGACAGTTGTAGGACATCTGTCACGGGGTAATACGAGAAGAGTTTATGGGTTATTACGACCTTATTTTTGTTCTACATATGTAGGCAGTTTCTTTTCTAGAAGCAGGTTGAATTATCCTTTTTTACAGGCTGAAGTCTCCTTTTCTGCAAAGGAAGAAAAATATGTTAAGCTTCATAGTGTTTTACTGTTATGTATATACCAAACTTTTTATTTTATTCTATAAGTACATAGCTCTTATTACATTTGACATTTCAGTTGTCCGAGCAATAAATTACAATAGCTAATTCTTTTTACTTCATGTGGACAGAAGTATGTTTAACCATTTAAGAGTGTGAATGACTTACTTACCCTGACAAAACCAAGAGCAAAGAAAATTTTATCTGCAGTTTGAAATTCTCCTTAAAAATCACCTGAATGAAACATAGGATTTAATCGCTGCTAGGGCCTTCAGTACAAAAGCAGAAAGTAGCTAATTTTGATGAAAAAATCAAACTGTAAAAACAACTTTAAAATTTCAACAGTTAAAAATTGAAGAAATCCATCTCGGGAATAAAATCCCAGAAAGGGGGGGCGGGGTGGGGGAGGGCGGGCGGCAAACACAGGTTTATTTGATAATCAGAGAAGGTTTTTTAAAAAATCGTCCAGATTGTTTGATTTCAAGTTCGGTGTACATTCCCTCTTGGCCAGTATTCTCTGTAGTGTTCTCTGTGTTGCCACCTTGCAACACAGAGTTTTCTTGGGGACTGTGAAAATGAACTATTTTAAAACACGAAAGATTCAATGTAATGTGAATGTTCTTTTTAATATTGTATAGCACTCTTATTAAAAACTTTATTTCATGGCATAAATAGCTGAAACTTAACATGAGATCCTTTTACCCCTTCACTGTTTACTTGGGGGAATATTGTCGTGAAAACTTCCTTGCTTTGATTATTGCTCTTAGTCACTTACCAGTTGTGTTTCATCCACCCAACACAATGCATTTAAGATTTTAAGCCAGTGAGAAACTGAAAAGATCACATCTCTAACGGATACTTTTTCCGTGTCACTGATCAGCCCAGATGGTCAAGATCAACATTTTCAAATGCATCTGTTAATCTTTTTACCTTGAAAATAACAGGCGCAGTGGTCTAGAAGAATATTGTGTATGATGGAATTATCCTTGCCAAAGCCATCAGGTGTCTTACTGAAGATGCTTTGATACCTCTGCCTGCCAAATGCAAAACCATTTGCGTCTGGTGAAAGACACAGATGGTTGCTATTCTCTAAAAAATGAAGTTGGACATAATTCCAAGGGTAGAGATGTCCTAAAAATAATTGCCTTTTCTTTATTGTTATTAAAGACCTAGTTAAAATGCACCCTTGAAATAAAAAATAAAAAAAAGTTCAAAATAACCTTGTTCCAGGCATTCCACTTCTGGGACTGCCTGGCAACCAAATCATCTGAGAGATAGGAAAAAACAGTACAGAGGTGTTTTCTACAAAATGAGTTCTAATAACGAAAACGCAGATTGCTCTATGGTTGAGTAAATGATGGTATTTTCATATTCTCAAAAATTATTTAGCCATAAAAATTATACCAATAGAGAATTTTTAATAAAAATTGAAGATTATTATAAAGTTTTTTTAAAAGCAGGAAATAATTGTTCTTACAGAGTAATCTCAACTAAGTAACAAATAAATGATTTTTTTATAAAGGCCAGAAAGATACATATGAAAATCTTAATAGTAATTAGAAAAGATAAATTTTACTGTTTTACAAAAACGTAATTTTATACCTGCTGGTGTTAGGGTTTGAGATGACTTCTAACTTTTTAAGTGTGTCTGAAAGGGATGAGATTATAGCTGTGTGTTAGAAATGAATGAAGCGAATTGTAGCTCTTGAAGGATCGGCAGAGATGTGATCTCCAGCCCTCACTGTCGATGTTCTGTCCTTCACAGTGCGTCATGCATCTGGAAGACAGACTACAGGAGATGTACTTTAAAAGTAAAATGCTGTCCGAATATCTTCGGGGACACACACGAGTCCATGTGAAAGAATTAGGTGTTGTACTGGGGTGAGTTCTGTGAAGTGCTGCCATCCTCCTCGTGAGTGGGGATGTCCCTAGTACTGTCCCGCTGACCCGTGGAGCCAGTGCCCCCCTCAGCCTACAGGGCCTAGTAACCCATTGAAGGGTTTGGCTGTCTGTTCCATGTATGCCTCTGCCGCTCCTGTGAATCTGTTACCGCTGTGTCACCGAACTGCATACTGGTGGTAAACTGGATGTTCCTCTTCTCCCTGGCTTGTTTCCACGCTAAAAACCAGTTGCCATCAAGTTGACGCCAACACAGGGCAGCCCCATGTGTACCAGAGCAGAACACAGGGTTTGCAATGGCTGATTTTCCAGAAGTAGATCAGCAGACCTTTCTTACAAGGCACCTCTGAGTGGACTCAGACCTCCAACCTTTTGATCAGTAGCCAAGCACATAACTGTTGGCACCACTCAGGGACTCCCGTTTTTATGCTAGAAAGGAAACAGTGTGACCCCACTCTGCCTGCCCTTTTTCAGCAGTCTCAGTGAGCTGCGACAGTCCCAGGCTGTCGGGCCTGAGCGGTGCTTGTGTTCGCAGTCTATCCCAGCAGGCCGCGAGGGCCGGCGGCCTTCTGCACGGTCAGGGCCCAGGCCTCTGTGGGATGGCTGTGCTTTCCTCCCTTCCGTTACAGGTCCACCTGAGGAGGAAACTTGTTCTGAGTTACGGATAATGTATATCATCTTCCACAGGCTGTTTGCCATAACTTCTCTAGGAGAAGAATTCTGACTTTTGTTTTACTTTCTGCTTAATTTTTCAACAGAGAACAAAACGACATTGTGTATGGGGAATTGTCCTCTTACCCATGATGATGGTCCCCCCAATTTGGGACAAGAAAATATTGTATACGTAATGTCTTCCTTTAAGTTCTGTATTAAGCCTGTTAATCAAACAAGCTTCCACCGTCTCATCACGCTTGTGTATACCCAGGATGTCACTTACTGTACTGTTTGACGCCTCATACTTCCTGCCTTATGTTTTTTTATATACTTCAATTTAAAAATATTTTCCCCTTCTGAGGCATTTGCCTCTGCCGTTAACTTGTAACATATCTTTTTTGCCACGTTTTTTGTTAGTTTTGTTTATATCTCTTTACCAGTCTCACGCTTTACCTAGTCCTGCTTAACAAGGTCTCCCGATGTGTCTTATGTTTATATGACGTTTGCTAGTCGCTGGCCCTGATGGGTGTCCACCATCCACACGATTAGAGGGATCATCTTAGCAGCCATCCCTAAATCCTCTTAGTCCCTTATGAGTGGGAAGCCTGTCTGTCCTCTGTGATCCCTTCCTCCACAGTCAGTCCAGCTGCACTCACGGCGCTAGAGGGCTGCTTGTCTACAGTGAAGTTGGAACTGAAGGTCGCATTACTGAAAAAGAAGAGAAAACTCCAGGAAGTCATGCCAGCTACCTTTTTTTTTTTCAAGATTTGGAATTCAAGGGAAAGGATTAGGACCTGCTCCACAGACTGAGGCTGTCCTAACTTTGTTCTGGCAACGTTCAGCCAGTGACCATACTGGGTCAGCCTCTGCTTGAAGCCAGGCTGCCAGGGCCATGCCCGTTTGCAGTGTGATGTTTCTTGATTCAGTGTCTGCTAGTGTCTGCTAGCTCTCAGAATGCTGTGGCTCAGAGGCCTAGTGAAGATCTGAGTTGTATACCCTGTTGAGCAAATCCCCAAGGTTTTTGAAGAAATCACTTCCATCATCATTTTCCAAGGACTGATTTCAGCCTAAGTACAAAATCAGCACACATTCAGGAGTGTTGACTGGAGGAATGATGAATAATGAGAAGACACTAAAGTATGACATATGAGGTTGTACAGGGGATATAGAAGTTACAGACTTAAAGTGGGTGACCCGGACTATGGAAAGAACATGGCAAATGTCCACACACGTGCACATGCCAGCACATATGCATGTCCATGTGTGCGCAATCCACGTGTATGCATATGTCCACATGTATGTGCACATCCACATGTATGCTCAGTTCACATGTATGCACATCCACATGATGAATGTATCCATGTGTATGCACGTCTGCATGCCTGTGTGTCCACATGCATGTCCACATGTATGCACGTCCACATGAACACATTTGCTTGCATGCACGTCTCCACATGTATGCATATCTGCATGATGAACACATTCACGTGTATGCACATGTCCGCATGAATGTGCATGTCCACATGTATGCTCAAATCCACATGTATGCACATGTCCACATGTATGCATACCTGCATGATGAACACATTTACATGCATGAATGTGTGTCCACACGTATGCATGTCCACATGTATGCTCACGTCCCCGCATATGCACACATCCACACACATGCTCACGCCCACACGTATGCACACATCAGCACGCATGCTCATGTCCACACGTATGTACGTGTCCGCATGTATGCGCATGTCTACTTGTGTGCACAACACGCCTGCCTTTCCTTTTGCCTCTTTAGGCAGCATCCACTAAGAGATTTTATTTAAAAAATAGGTTTATTATCTTTACATCTATTATACTTTTTCACTAGTTTGAAGCAATTATCTGGCAACCTTGGTACCTATAAATAATATTTCTTTATAAAGTCATGCTGTTTTAAAATAATATTATTCTTTTCTTTCTTCAATATTCAGGATTGAGTCTAACGACCTGCCTCTGTTGACTGCTATTGCCAGTACTCATTCTCCATATGTGGCTCAAATACTCTTATAAAGCTCAGGACAGTTCTTCCTTGGAAGAAAAAAAATCAAATTCTCAGCTGAAAGAGAAAGAAAGAAGCTCTCTGTGTGATATCAGCAGCTTAAGAAGAGCAAGCAGAAACCATCATTCCACCATTTTTGTTTTTGTTTTTGTTTTTGTTTTTTTGCTTTCAAGCGATGCTTCATTGGAAGACTTTAGGTTTACTTGACTTAATGGCATTTGTGTTTTTCATGAACACCTTCGGCCCTTTGTTACCCATGAATCAACAGAGAGAGTGACCTTTTTTGGTCGGAGGAAAAATAAACACTACAGTGAACAGGAAGCTGTTGGTACAGATTGCTCTGTGCTGTTTGCACAGAATAAGGACAAGTGATATGGGCTTGTTCACATTTTTGGTAACTTTGGAGCAGCAAGATAAACTACGTGCACATCATTCCAGTAGGAAAATGTTTCCAAGTTTAAGCATGAGCTCTTCAAGCTGGAGAAAGCATATTTTGCTATTCCGAGAAGACCGCTGGAACAAGAACTTCAGATGCAAAGTCGGAGTTTGCATTTTACAACAGGCAAAATGAGGGAAGCCACAGTGTGCCGTCTTTAGCTCTGGTGGCTGTAGGTGCTACTGTGTGACATAAAACTTGGAAGAGGTTTGCCTGTTGGTAAGAGAGTGCTTTAGGGACTCATTGTTTTCATTTCTTCTTGGAGTTTACATTGTTGCAGATACAGCCACAGGTAGGGGAGGGGTGGATTAGTGGTACAGGGTCTTCACAGTAAACCCGAGAGGCAGTGTAGCATCTTCATCCCACCATGGTGGAGTCTCTAGCAGCGGAGGGCGTGGTCTGACACCAGGTGTTTTATCTTGGACTTGAGAGCTTTCAGCAGCCTTTAAGAGAGGCCATTTACCAAAGTTATTTCTGTAAGAGTGTTTCTGTTGGTAAATTCTTCCAGCCGAAGCCACTTTCTTCCTATGATAGTTAATGCAAATGACTATTTATACTTTAAAAGGCACAGCTGTCCTAGTGGGAAATGAAACCTACAAGAGTTCAGGATGACTAATGAAAGTAATTAGTTTGAACATTAAAAGTGATCCATTTATGATCTCAATTTTTACATTATTATCTTTGTGCCTTCTAATTCCTACAGTAAAAAAACACCTTTCTAGAAGTTAACTTACCCATCATACAAAACCTGCCAAAATGAAAAATTGTTTATTCATTAGTATAGTTCACTTAAAAAAAATTTTTTTTCTGTTACTGTAAAAGAAATCTTACTTAGTTTACTGCCCATGGAACAGACTATGTGCTGACATACAGAGTAAAATAAAAGAATAAAAAAAATAAAGCATTAAAAGAGAGGAGTTAATCTAGTGAAGTAAAAACACTGTTAACACTTAGCAGATCTGAGTGCGGTTAATTATAACCAGGCTCTGGCTTCCTTTCACTGTTTGTGCTGAATTAATTCCAGGCCTTTCCATTTATTCTTCATACTTAAGAAGATGAAGTAACCTCCCTCCTAGGAGGTAGAGTGACTTCACACTTTCCGTATGGTAAAATCCTGATCCTAAATACAAGTTCTGCCCATGTGTCTCTTTTCTTCTTGGATGAAGTCTTTCTAGGGACAGGTCAGAACTGCTGCCTTTCCCTCTCTCTCTCCATGAGGGAAAATGTCAGTGGGTGCATTAAGGCTCTTGTGTCTTTAATTTTCAGGTTATGTCTTGTCTTTCATAAAATTGAGGTTTTCCATTCTTTTAATATTTTTGTATTTCCATTACCCTAACATTTGAGTTTGGTGTTTTAAATTCTCTAATTCCATGTCATCATTGTTTGCAGACAGAGAATGAACCTCAACTGTGGCTCAGCCCACTCTGTTGGTTTTTCATTCCGTGTGAATATATTGTGATAGCTGATGGTACATCTTTTACATCTGTACCAGTTCAAAGCATTCCCCTGATTTCTGGTTCCCTTTGCTTGTTTACATGTTTTGGGCACTTTTCCTCATTCACCACCTTTCAGGGTTTCATAGACAATAACTCAATACAAAGTCAGTTCAATTATAATGTGAACTTAGTGGCGTGTTGAAATTTACCCCATCTAGGGGGAAATTGAGCTTTAAGTGACTGATTATAAACTCTACATGTGAAAGACTTAGCCCAGTCCCCCCGAAGCCTGAGCAGTTTTAATTTGCTTCTTAGTTTAATGTTCCACACCTCTCTCTTGGAGAATGTCTGCTGGAAAACTGCGGGTGGGTTATATGTGGGGGCTGTCTCAGTGACGCTCAGAATTCCAGTCAGTGCTTAATCCTCGGATCTGTTGCCTGCAGAAACAGAGAATGTTGCTGCTCTTTTATGATCCTCTTTACATAACATTCAAATTTTGTCTTAAATTCAGCTTCTTTCCAAAAGTGAAAATGAAAAAAAAAAAAAAAAAATCTCATGGAATTGTGTTGAGATACACCCCCTCGCACATCGCATACCACCCAGTAGCTTCCTTCTGTCTTAGCTGAAGAGGCAAGAAAGGGATTCCACCCTCTCCCATGCCCACCATGAGAAAAAAATAAAACTTAAAAAAATAATACTAAAGAAAACTACCTCAGTTGACAGGATTCCACCTTTAGGGTTTCTTCAACTTTTGAGTCTTACCTGTTGAGTGTCACTTTTGTAGCGTCTTGCTGTTTGAAGCAAGCTAGCGAGGCATGACGGAGAAGTGTGTCCATGCCCTGCGATGGACCTCCTTCTAGCATGTTGCAGTTTTATTTTGAATAAATTGACGAGTGATATGAATGTAAAGGTAATTGTGTGTGTAAACATGACAATGAAAATTGAAAATGTCGCTTCCACACTTGTGCGTAATTCCAAAGTATTTTCTTTTCATCAGTGTTAAATAGCTGTTTGTATGGGCTCCAATCCATTGTTCTGAAGTGTGCTGTTTTTTAATGAACGTAACTAATCTTTCACATCCCATGGAACTGCCGTTTACACATCCCAACTTTTTAAACTTAACCATATTTTTCAAAATTAACTTTTTGGAGGGAGGGAAATCCCCACTTGCTAAATGATACTAAACTCTTGTTTGGTCTCTTCTAATTAGGTCTTGAGATTTTATAAAAATTCAGTCTGTAGCTTTTTAGGTTATTCACTTAGAGTTGATTGTACATAAAAATAAAGACTATAAAGTGACCCCAAAATTCTTTTAAATACCTGGAGTTTTTCACTAATATACGTACTTTTGAGTGTATTTTTTTCATGCATAATCTCACGATTAAATTGAAAAAGTCTAGCTTTTCTTGGTAAATGTGAGCCATCGGGTTTTTTTGTTGTCGTTGTTGTGCTTTGGGGGAGGGGATATTTTAATATAATTTTTGCCTAAATCAAGTAGGCCCCTCTGAATGTTAATTTTAAAATGTCAGAATTTGGTGAACCATATTATCTTGGAAGCGAGATTGCAATATGCTTAAATTTAAGTTGCGTTTAAAAAAAAAGAAAATTCTGGGATTTGTTGTTACTGAAGCTCCATTAAGACAAATTGATAGGACTTTATATTTTAGATCAGTTGAATAGATACCAATGTTAATGTGTGGAGAATTTTTCTTAAAACTTGTTCATGTATTATTTTGATCCATTTCTCTGTGGCATTTGGTGCAATAAACCTTTTGAATTTATCTTGAACATTTTCCTCTTACTGCATATGATTTGTTACGTTCAATCAGACTTCAAGGTCTCATTTCCAAAAATTAATGTGAGACAAGTGGATTATACATGTCTGTTTTCAGCAGAGGTGTTTGGGAAATGTGGGCACAGTGTCGGTTAGCGTAACGACAAGCGGGTGCTACTGGAACTTGGTGGGTGGGGGCTGGTCATGAGGTGTCCTGCAGTGTGTGAGTCTGCCCTGCAAAAGAGTTGTCCCACGTCCTGGGTGACCTTTAAATATCCTGCTGGACATTTATGTGGGTGAAAAACCTGTTTATAATAATAGTTATCTGAGCTGAGAACTTAATTACGCTTTACATAAGGACACGGTTCTTTACATGGTCTTCATATATGCTGAATTTTCCAGGAATGGAAATTTCCTTTAAATTGAGGAAAGATTTTACTTCATAAGGTTCAAAATTTTAGCAAGAGTTGGTCACTTGGTCTTTACCAAGAATTAACTTAATTTTGGGAAATTACATTACCAACAGCTACAGTACTCATGGTATTTGAGGGACCAGTATAGCACCTGTCCCATTCATGGAGATTCTACATGTAGATGCACGCATCTGCCTACTTCATTATACTTTCCAGTCTGCTTGTGCCCCGGCATTTACATTTTGAAATATACTCTTATAAATTACTTTTCTATAGTACATCTAAGGCATTTTATTGGTTTGTTATAAATTATGTATATAAATAGGTATGTTATCTATGAATTTTATTTTAGGATTGTAAAGAGGGCATTACAAAATATTTACTAATGAAGGGGGATGAGATCTCCTGATATATATGGTCTCAGGAAGAAATGCTGTTGTGTACAACTTTTGTAGCAACATAATGCCATACAGAATTATGTTATCTTAAAGACCGTTGTTGTTGTTAGATGCCGTTGAGTCAGTTCCGACTCATAGCGACCCTGTGTACAACAGAACGAAACACTACCTGGTCCTGCGCCATCCTCACAATCGCTGTTATGCTCGAGCCCATTGTTGCAGCCACTGTATCACTCCGTCACCTTGAGGGTCTTCCTCTTTTTCGCTGACCCTCCACTTTACCAAGCATGATGTCCTTCTCCAGGGACTGATCCCTCCTGTAACGTGTCCAAAGTACATGAGACGAAGTCTCGCCATCCTCACTTCTAAGGAGCATTCTGACTGTACTTCTTCCAAGACAGATTTGTTTACTCTTCTGGAAGTCCATGGTATATTCAATATTCTTCGCCAACACCACAATTCACAGGCATCAATTCTTCTTCGGTCTTCCTTATTCATGGTCCAACTTTCACATGCTTGGGAGGTGATTGAAAACACTGTGGCTTGGGCCAGGTGCACATTAGTCTTCAAGGTTACACCTTTGCTTTTCAACACTTTAAAGAGGTCTTTTGCAGCAGATTTGCCCAATGCAATGCATCTTTTGATTTCTTAACTGCTGCTTCCATGGATGTTGATTGTGGATCCAAGTAAAATGAAGTCCTTGACAACTTCAATCTTTTCTTCATTTATCATGATGTTGCTTATTGGTCTAGTTGTGAGGATTTTTGTTTTCTTTATGTTGAGGTGTAATCCATACCGAATTAAAGACTATAGAGAGAAGTAACATTAGACATTTAAAAATTCTTTTCAGATTAAATAAAAATTCTAAGAGGCTTCCACGTTCCCTGAACCGGTTTTAAAATCCTGCCATTGATAAAGAACTTAAACATACAAATACATACCACTTTGCTTTTTGTTCCCTAGTGCCTGCTGGACTGTCCTACCGGATGCTTTATATATATCACCTCATTTAAGCCTCACAGCTAGATGAGATGGGTGCTGAAGGAGCCACGAAGCCCAGAAGGAGGATGGAAGTTGCCCAAGGTCCCAGCCAGTACATGTCTGGGTCGAGAGCTGAGATTGTTTTACTTGTTCCAAAGGTTATGCTCATGCCTCTTGGGAGGCAGAGGTTAGTTTTAGATGATGGTGGTGGCGGCGGTGGTGGTGGTGGGAGAGGGTAGTTGAGAGTTGACTTTATGGTAGAATTATGGGATCCACGTTGGGGCTGAGATGATTTCTTAATCCACGGTAGTGGCATCTGGCTTTAGACCATCTCTGCCAGTAGTTTTTGCCCTGCCTGAAGAATTAGTGGCAAATCAAGCAGTGGTCTTAAATTCTTTGCTAAACCTCTTACCTAAATTGCTACTGATTTATGGATGTTTCTGCTCCATCCCTCCCCTGAAAATGCACTTGTCAAGCCGACAACTTGCTGCCAAATCTGAGTCACCTTCGTGTCTCCTTATCTTCCTTGGCGTCAGCAGCATTTTACAGACGCGGCCCCTCCCTTTCAGGCAAGCCCTCTTTAGTTTCCTTTTCTCGTATTTCCTCCCCCAACTTCTGAATGTTGGTGTTCCTTAGACTGGACCTAGACCTCGTTTTCTCTCTATTCCTCAGGGCTTAAATATGATCTGTGTACATCTCAATATCTTCACAGCAGCCCCATAAAATGTGGTTGTTAGGTGCTGTGGAGTCGGTTGTGACACATGGCGACCATATGTAAAACGACAACGCACTGCCTGGTCCTAAGCCATCCTCACAGTCCTTGTTATGCTTAAGTCCATTGTTGCAGCCACTGTGTCAGTCTGTCTCGTTGAGGGTCTTCCTCTTTTTTGCTGACCATCTACTTTACCAAGCATGATGTCCTTCTCTAGGGACTGGTCCCTCCTGATAACATGACCAAAGTCTCACTATCCTAGTTTCTAAGGAGTATTCTGGCTGTACATCTTCCTAGACATATTTGTTCATTCTTCTGGCAGTCCATGGTATATTCAGTATTCTTCGCCAGCACCACAATTCAAAGGCATCAGTTCTTCTTCAGTCTTCCTTATTCATGGTCCAGCTTTCGCATGCATATGAGGTGATTGAAAACACCATGGCTTGGGTCAAGTGCACCTTAGTCCTCAAAGTGACGTATTTGCTTTTTAACACTTTAAAGAGGTCTTTTGCAGCAGATTTGCCCAGTGCAACGTCGTTTGATTTCTTGACTGCTGCTTTCATGGATGTTGATTGTGGATCCAAGTAAAATGAAATCCTTGACAACTTCAGTCTTTTCTCCATTTATCATGATGTTGCTTATTGGTCCAGTTGTGAGGACTTCTGTTTTCTTAATGTTGAGGTGTAGTCCATACTGAAGGCTGTGGTCTTTGATCTTCATCAGTAAGTGCTTCCAGTCGTCTTCGCTTTCAGCAAGCAAGGTTGTGTCATCTGCATATCACAGGTTGTTAATGAGTCTTCCTCCAATCCTGATGTTGCGTTCTTCTTCATATAGTCCAGTTTCTCGGGTTATTTACTTAGCATATAGATGGAATAAGTATGGTGAGAGGATACAACCCTGATGCACACCTTTCCTGATTTTAAACCACTCAGTATTCCCTCGTTCTGTTCAAATGACTGCCTCTTGGTCTATGTACAGGTTCCACCTGAACACAACTAAGTGTTCTGGAATTCCCATTCTTCACAATGTGATCTGTAATTTGTTACGATCTACACAGTGGAATGCCTTTGCATAGCCAACAAAACACAGGTAAACATCTTTCTAGTATTCTCTGCTTTCATCCAAGATCCATCAGACATCAGCAATGATAGCCCTCATTCCATGTTCTCTTCTGAATCTGGCTTGAATTTCTGGACGTTCCCTGTTGATGTACTGCTGTAACCATTTTTGAATTACCTTCAGCAAAATTTTACTTGTGTGTGATATTAATCAT